AGACAATACTTTTAGAAGCTAATTTACTTAAGGTAGGTGTCTAAGATGGGAAAATAGAAAGGTGACTCTTAGTCCCTGACAGCTACTGAGAGACTCTAGATGACTATTCTGTGTCAGATATGCATCATCTGGGCATCTAAAGACAGGTGAGAGGAATCCGAAGTATGATACTTTATACAGTTTATTAGTGTTTTATGTTCTTGTTATGATAGCCTCTGAGACCTTGTTCTGTGCTAAGAAATCATTGTCAAAGATGCCGTACAAATGAGAACAAATGGATACTTTTCCTCCTAGAGGTTGTATAGCTAGCTACCAGACACAATAGATGAAGGGTATAGATAAACAGGGATAACAAAAGGAGATAATAAGGACAAAATGAAATGGTTTTGACCTATTTGTAAGAACAATATCCACAGACTAGGGCGAGCTTACTGCACTGACATATTTTATAGGCATCAAAGCAAAGAAGATCTAGCATTAGCTCTGCAAATGTTTACTGACCATTTTCCCATTAAAAAGTAAAGATGCTCAAAAATTACCAATTAAAGGGTGAAAGTCATTACCAGGAGCTGTGTAAGTCATGGTCAGAATCTGAAGAGTGGGTGAAAAACAAATGTCAGAAAACAGAGAGAGGAAACAAATAGTTTATGACTGATAGGATGGAGCTGACATGTAAATTTTAATAAAGATAAGGAATTGATTGTATTTAAATTAGCAAAGCTAGGCATACAGGCATCTTATAAATGCCTAAGACTTAATGTAATTTACTAGTGAAGTGAGGTTTAGATAAACATGTTTTCTGTGTGCATGACCACCTTTCTTCCTTAGTGGCTGTGATGTATTTAATCAACCTTCAGACATCTTCAGATAGAAATCTAAAGATGAGTTAGTTGCTCTAGGCTTTATTTAGAGGAAATGAAGAAAAACAGACATTTGTAGGTTTTTATGGGTATAATCTATTTTAAATAAGTGATACGGGATGAAATTATTCACATCCTGGAAGTGTCCATTTTTCTTCATATGCTATCAAGGGAAATGTGTCTAACTAGCTTCAATGACATCAAAGAAGTTAATTTCCCAAATTTAACGAGAATTACAGTGAAAAGACATTTTCTCTGTGTGTTGGTGGGTGGAGGGAAGGGGGATGCTAGTAAATCAACTTTTACCAGACACTCAGGAGTTTAAATGTTTGTTTTAGAACTTATTTTAACAGTAAGCTTAATACAGACTTTTTTGATTAGGAATAAGAAGGCATTTCAGTTCAACATAATATTAAAATTAATTTTGAGAAAAAATAGTACATAGTAAGCTCAGGAGAGCTCAACAGAAAAAACAATTTCTTCTCAAATATCACTACTGGGACCAATAATACAAATAAATTGATCTGTAGAGCCAGAGAGGCAATCTCTAAGCCTGTATTTATGTATTGTATGTTTTTGACAGTCAAGATGAAAACGCTTGATATAGCCACCCTTTATCATCCCTGGTACACATTTCAGCAGTTAACTTTGCTTGAGAATCTTGAGGGGGGGTGGTCATGTCGTGCCCCCTTTGCACAAGGAGACAATGGTACTTCCACTAGAAAAGATTTGGTAGGAGTTCTTTATATGCAAGTTTGTTGTGGTTCGACCCCAAGCAGCAAGTACAAACTTAAAGCCAATAAACAGGAGGAACTGGGGCTCCATGCCCAGTCCAAGAGTTATGATATAGTATCCTAATCAAAGAGCCCAGCATAGGCTACTATCTGTGTGACTGGGCAGCAGCCTTGCTGAAAGGGACATAAGTATCCTGATGGACAACAAGATGAACATGAATTAACAGTGTGTTGCTGCATAGTAGCCTATAGTATTTACCTTAGGAGCCACAGTTTGCCAGAATCACAGATCACCAGAGTGCAACCGTTCCCATTAGTAACACTTCTAACAATTATCCTACTAACACTTACTTTCTCAATTTCAACAATTAGAGGTTTCCACTGTAATTAATTAAACTGTCATATCTGTCAACAAGTAAAATAAAACAAGTCTCATTTGGTACTTTTCCAGTGTAAACAACATAAAAATCTTACAACTTTTGAATAATTTTGGTTGTACAAGACCTCTGAAGCTCATCTGTTCTAACACCATGTTCAAAGGACTGCCAACTTGAAAGTTAAATTACATTGCTGAGCACCTTGTCCTGTTTTTAATATCTCCAAGTATGCAAAAACTACCACCTCACTAGTCAGTTGGCCTCAGGGATTAACAAGCCTTGATATAAAAGTTTTCTTTATATGCAGTCAGGGTTATAATCTGTATTCCTTACCTCATGCCCGAGTTGTGAACAAATCCATCTCTATCTACCTTTCCCCTTTCTGATGTAGTGGCCCTTTGTTAGGTTTACTCCAGTTTGTTCATCTTTGTTATTTTGGGGATTCCAAAACCGAACACAGTAGTCCAGAAACAGTTTCAAAAGTGCTGAAAACACGAGCATATTTTCTTTTTTCAGTATTCACTCTACATAGTGCCTAATACAGTGCAATATATGGTTAGTCCTCGCTATTACAAGGGAGCACTGTTGACTCACAGAATCACAAAATCATAGAGTCACAGAACAGTTGAGGATGGAAGGGACCACTGGGTGTCATCTAGTCCAACATCCTTGCTTAAGCAGGGTTGCCTAGAACATGTAGCTCAGGATGTGTTCCATAGCTCAAGAGTTCTGCATCCAGATGGCTTTTGAGTATCTCCAGGGAAGGAGGCCCCACCACCTTTCTGGGCAACCTCTTCAAATGCTCAATCATCCTCACAGTAAATTTCTTCCTCATATCCAGGTGTAACTTCCTGTGTTTTAGTTTATGCCCATTGCTCTCACCCTATCATCTGCTACCACTGAGAATAGTCTGACCCCATCATTTTGACATCCCCCACTTCAGATACTTATACACATTAAACAGATCCCCCCTTAACCTTCCCTTCTCTAGGCTGAACAGGCACAGCTCCCTCAGCTTTTCCTCATATGAACAAAGTTCCAGATCGTTCTAGGAGCTCTTCATTGAATTTGCTCCATGACCTCCAATCTCTCTTGTACTATGGAGCCCTGAACTGTACACAGTACTCGAGATTGAGGCTTCTCTAGGGCTAAGGAGAGAAGGAGGATCACCTCCCTTGTCCTGCTGGCAGTGTTCATCCTGCTCATCCAGGATACCACTGACCTTCTCAGGCACATTGCTGCTGGTTCATGAATCACTTTTTGTTCACCAGGACCCCAAGATTCCTCTCAGCAGAGCTGCTTTCCAGCACATCAGCCCTCAGCCTGTAGGGGTGCATGGGTCTTCCTCCCTAGGTGCAGAACCCTGCACTTATCTTTGTTAAATTTCAAAAGACTCCTCTCCGCCCATCTCTCCATCCTGTCTAGATCCCTCTGAATGGCAGCACATCACCCTAGGGTATCAGCCACTCCTCCCAGTTTTTTACTGTCACCAAAGTTGCTGGGAAGGCATATGATCCCTTCATGCAAGTCATCAATGAATAAGTGACTCATATGCAACTTGTTGTCTACCGACAATCCTTAAGTGCTTTTAGTTAGAGCTGTTCCCTAGACAGTCAGTCCTCCTAGCTATTTACTTTTGGATCTTTTCTGTCAGATCACTTCTTCAGCTTTTTGAGATTCACCTGAATAGCAGCCGTATTATCCAGCATACTGACTGCTGCCTGCAACTTGGTGTCAACCCCAAGTTTGCCAACCCTGTGCTCCTTTTTATGCAATTATAAAGCCACAAATCACACCACTACCATTTTGTTTGCTAGAGCAAATATATGGGTTTTCCAGGTAATAAAAAGCAAAAGATTGTTCTGAAAGCACACTTTACAAGAGACTACAGTAGGAGCTGAGTGACTACAAGAAAGGAAGATGTGAATTTAAATGGAAAAATAACCACATTATATATTGTCCTGGGTTTAGCAGTAGCAGTCACTTTTCCTTCTTCTTAGTAGCTGGTGTAATGCTGTGTTTTTGACTTTTGGCCTGGGAACAGAGCTGATAACACCGATGTTTAGTCTGACCAAGGACTTTCTGAGTCTCATGCTCTGCCAGGGAGGAGGGGAAGCCAGGAGGAACAGAGACAGGCCACCTGACCCAAACTAGCCGAAGAGGTATTCCATACCACAGCACGTCATGCCTGGGATGTAACTGGGAGTTACCTGGAAGGGCACTCTCTGCTCTGTTGGGCTCGTTTCAGCTGGTGGTGTCGGGTATCATATTCTCTTCCCTTGTTATTTCCCTTATCATTATTATTATTGGTGGCAGCAGCAGTGGTTTGTGTTATACCTTAGTTACTGGGTTGTTCTTACCTCAACCCATGGGAGTTACATTCTTTCAATTCTCCTCCCCATCCCTCCAGGAGTTGAGGGGGGACGGGTAGAAACTGGGTGGCCGACTTGCTGACAGGGCTTGAACCACAACATATATAAAAGCAATGACAGCTGCTCTGGCCAGCAATTACTTGAGACTAAATGTGGACAGAAACAGTCAAGGTGCACACAAATACCCTTGTGATTTCTCAGCATTTCCACCCATTCTCATCTTATTCCATATACCCAGAAATGCCAAAACAAGTATGTGCTCTAATGTTGGTGTGCACAATAATCTCTTAATCTTTAGTGGGTAAAAGTATCAATGACAGAAATACCCTTGTCTCCTTTGACTTTTACACTGTAGGATTGATGTAAAGAAGCCATAGCATGAACAGGATCTTGGCCCAATACATTCTTTTACCCTCATGGAAAAGTCAATAAGCAAGATTCCATCTTGTTTGCAACAATGTCAGTGTGGAGGCACCTCAGTAGCCACCTGAGTTTATTTGCATTGCTGGAGATTAAGATCAAGTCTTACTATAATTGGATGCGTCAATCATTAGCACAGAGCCTTTGTACCTGGCATTCACATTGACTGCAAATTTCACATACAAGGAGCAATACATACAAAACTCATTTCAGAGTATTTCGTCTCTTCTAATACAAAAGGTAAGAGGAAATAAAAATGGAACACAGCCTTCTTGGAAGACTGTGCGCTTGACAGTGCACAGTTCTATCTGGTCACTGTTTGAATTCTATAATACCTATGACGCTGAGTCACCTTGTCCTATCAGGAAACAGAAGAGGTATAAATCTCCCTCCAGTGAAGAGCCCCAGTCACTTCCACAACTACCTGAAGAAGGACGGAAGAAGCCTCTGATCTTCCAGGAAACAAAAAGGTAGGATTGATCTGTTTGCTTAAAGTATCACAATTCTTTCATGTGTTAAAATACAACCTATCATCAGATGACTTCTTGAACAATATAGGACAGTCACAGAAAGAGGATTTTATTTATTGAAAAATAAGGACTATGTAGGCAGTAGTGTAACACAACCTGAGGTGGGGGGGGGAAAGAAAAAAGAGAGAAAATTTATGAATAATCAAAAAAAGATTAAAAACCACCTGTGTGCAAGAAATTAATTAGGCAGATTATATGCACATGCAGAAAGAGACAGACAAAATTGTTGAATTGGATATATGTTCTGTTCGGTATATTCTCTTGCTTTATGTAGCTATCACAATTTATTTTCAGGGTGAGGAAATTACCACCCTGTGCAATTTACCACCAATGTACAAGGTGATTGTTAAGTAGGACTTTGTGCAATAATACTGTACAAGTGAAATAGCAGCTAGTATTATTCCATTCCAGGTCTTTTTCAAGGATGATAATAAAAAATAATGAGGATGTTTTTTGTAACAGGTATTGAATTGTATGAACCATTTAGGACACACCCTTTTTTTTAGGAGGAGAGATGGGAAAAACATATTCATACAAGTTTGCTAAACTCACACAAACTAGGGATGCTAAAGCACCATCTTTCAGTGGCAGATCCCTGTACACAGATGGAGTTGCAGGAAAGTCAGTAAGACTTGGCACATGTCCTGATTTATGTTTGATTGAGGGGGAACAAGGGAGGGGGACAGGGAGATTGATTTTAGGACCAGTGCCTAGAAATTAATGCAGAGCAATTAAATTTACATCTCATAAACTATAAGCATTTGGTTGAAATCAGTGAGATTGCCAAAAGTATGTTAATATCTTGGAGCAGGAAACCCGCTAGATCTTAAAAAGCATTTCAATGGCATTCTGAAACTTGTATCATGTAATAAATTACCAATTATATTTAATTGAAAGTTAATTCATAGAAATTATTACAGTGAATGAATACTTTGCCCATGTCTTTAAGTCAGCATCTTCATTTGATTTTGCAAAACAGAAAGCTTCACAATTTCAGTGAGAAGTTATTTCTCTTTTGAAACAACTTGGTTTTACACACTTTAAGATCAAAAAAGGTTGTTTTCTATTTGCATATCATCACATTTCACACTCAGAAGACACAGTTTTGCTCGTAACTTGAGTACAGCTAAAAATAACCCCCAACTCCTTTTACTTTCTAGTCAGAAATTAAAAGAATAATTTTCATGTTATTGGGAGTATAATCTTGTATTACTAAAGACCTAGGTCATATGCAAAAGTTTTGTAACTGCTTTGAGAAATAAGAGCTAGAAAAGTTAGTAAAAAAACTTCTGTGATCCTGACGCGCTTCCAAGAGGCACAGGTGATGTCAAAATTAAACATAAGAGACATAAATCAATATCTAGAACAGAAAATCAATGACTTACACTGTTAATTAGTACGTTTTTCCTCCAGACTAACTAGATCTTTCCTCAACTACAAGTACTTGGAATAAGCCACCCTATTTTGAGGCTCTGAGAGTATAATTGTACAGATGTGGCCAGTCCAGTTTTTTGCCTCTGAGCTACAACCGCCCATATCCACAGTCCACTTCCACTCTTTGTTCTTTAGTAGAGCTGGAGTAACATCTTTGCCTACAGAATGGGAACTGTGAGTCACCTCCAGTGCAATGTAAAAAAGCTGGTGAGGAAAATGGGCCTTGTTGTATCATTTGAAAAAAGGAATTTTTTCTTACCCACATGTTCTCCAAGAACCGGAGCACCTTGTGTTTTATATAAAATAGTTGCCTCGAGGTAAAGGGGTTCTGCTGAGTATGAATAGATCAGCAAACCTTATTGGCCTTTCCCCAAGAACAAATTAAAGTTAAAACCTGCAGCCCCCTCAAAACCAAATAAGAAGTTAAGCTAGTATTATATCACTGTGGTAACATGCCCATAAATTCCCTTGGAGTGGGAGGCTGGGAATAATGCCAAAATAAGTAAACTCTACTCTAGTCACCTGCTTGCCTGCCCAAGGTAGCTAAGCCGAAACAACCTGAATATAACTCCCATGTCCGATTGCAATCAGACACCTGAACTTTTAAATTACCTGCATTACCTCCTGGATCACTATAGTGGTTTGGAATGACATGTTGAGCCTCCTAAGCAAGTAGAGTCCAGGGTCTGGTAGCTGCTTCTTTAAAGAGAGAAGGTTTTCATTTCTGGTATCATTTCACACTACCTGTAACATAATCAAGAGCTGTCATAAAAAAATAAATAATAATTAAAAAAACCCAATCAAACAAACCAAGAAAACCACCCAAAAATGCTTTCTAAAACAAGTCTTTCCCAGGAAGCCAGAACTGGCCCTGTTCTGGTCCATCCAGTTCTGCCACAGCTCACATGCAAGGCTTCACAGTTCTGGTCATTAAGTAAGGGTTTTAAATCCTGACTGAGACACCTAAGTGTAGAGATCAGCACATTGGCTGAGAGTTTAATTCCCCTTTCAACCAATTCAGACCAGTCAAAGCAGGCAATGGTTAGTAGGGGCATTTCAGATTAAAGCAAGCTAAAAGCTGCATCTCACCCCAGCTGTTCCACAGTATGGCAATAAGCAGGTTTCCTATGGGAAGGGAAGCACAAAGGTCCTCACGAATATACTGTGAATTCAGGTGAAGGTATTTGGCCAGGATTATAGTAGGAAGTATGAGATGCAGAAAACATTTGGTTTATAAAAATTCGAATATTCAGAGGGGGAAATAGCTATTTTTTTACTTCTAAAAATGGGAGGAGGAGAGAGGAGGAAAGAAAGAAAACTTACCTTGTTACTTGAGTATAAGCCAGGAAATACACAGAAAGATGCATTATGTATTGAGAGAAATGAAAGCTCAATAAAAAAAATAATAAATCCTCATTCTCCACTTTTCAGAGATGATTCTGCCGGTGGTGTTCCTGTGTCTCACAGTTGTGGTGCCTCTGTCCACTGCAGAGGTAGGATGCACACTTTGTACTCAGAAAATCTGGATGGGACCTGGGCACTTGTGGTCTGACTGAATATGGGTTTTCCTTTGCACACTATCATATGCAGAAAGAGTCTAATGGGATACCTAGGATCTGGAAAACATTTATCCCTGAAGTCTGTTTAATTTCAAAGCAGTAGACTGGTTCCGCACTTACACACTAAGGAATCTATAGACTTGGTGTTGCTTATGATTTGGGTCAGAGATGACTCTATTTGCCAGAAGCTCCAATACACAGATCTAGTAGTTTGGACCTCACAAAGGTCATAGAATCACAGAATGGTTTGGGTTGGAAGGGACTTTAAAGATCACCTAGTTCCAACCCCCCTGTCAAGTCTGATCCAGTAGCCTAAATTGAAGAGGTATTCTAGCCATTGCAGAGGTATCTCAGCCATCCACAGAGGGCTGGCAGATACGACACAGGGAGCTCTATGTTGTGGAACCACTGAAAGTGCTACTGCACATAGAAGCACCCCTCGAGATGCTTAGGAGGCAAAGCATATCACAGTACTTCCTCCATCACGAGGATCATGTCGTTGATTGATATTAGTATGTTGGTATTTTAGTATTTCCTAGACAGGATACATAATCTAGTTACATTCAAATGAAAAAGAGAAACATAACATGATCTTTCAATTTAGGAACCTGAAGATTTTGATGCTCTGTCAACTAACAGAACAGATCAGCAAAACCTTATTGTTGACACACATAATACCCTCAGGAGAGGAGTAAAACCAAGTGCCAGCAACATGTTGAAAATGGTGAGTTGTGTGCTGTAAATCTATTTTTAATGCATAATGGACTCTATGAGAAATAAAGGACTGTATGCAAGGTCACATTATTTTATTTAGCCACAAATTCATTTTCCAGAGCTTTATTAAGGTTTGAGCATGACCATCACCAAGAGAAACATAAAGTTGGGCAGGTGGAAAAAAAGTCTGGAAATTTTTGTGATGTATGAATAACAATGTCTCTTTCTTTTGGGGGAAAAAAAAAGAAAAGAAAAAGAAAAGGAAAAGGAGGGGAGCCACAGTATTGTTAATTGATTCTGATGTGCTCTTCATCACTCTTCAGTTTCTGTTCTCCTGGATGCATAGAAATTTTGTTCCTACACCCCAAAAAGGGGGAAGAAAATGATTTTATATATGTTTTTTCCTGATTTGAAGTGTAATTTCCAATTGTTCATTCATAAGGATTATTAATTTACATGTGTCTGAATGACTAATGTTTCCTTCTGTCATAAAGGAATGGAATGCTCCAGCTGCAAAGAATGCCCAAAACTGGGCCAATGAATGTACTTTAACACACAGTCCTGCTAGCATGAGGAAAACCAGTAAGTGAAACGTGTGCTAACTGAATAATATCATATGTATTACTGATATGACCAGTTTCAGGATTTTGTTTTGGTTTTTTTTGGTTTTTTTTTATTTTATATGGAGATGCCATTTATATACAATGTGATTTTTTTGGTGCATGGGACAAAGGCAAAATTCTAGATATAAATCTGTCCAGTAAGTGGGAAAAGTTCAATCCTATTCTCATTCCATCTGCATCAGTTTTCCAGAGGTATATCCCAGTTTCTTCAGTGGGTGAAAAAAGTTATAGCAAGAAAACATCGTCTCTCAAAATATCTATCAGAAAAAAGAGATTCTAGACACAGTTTACAGCAGAAAACAACTTGCATGTGATGAATTAAACTGTCTGGGAAGGAAGGTTCAAAAAGTGAAGGTCTAAATTTGCAAATAACAAAATTACAGTCATGAATCTGTGATGTACATGTGCAGGTGTTATCTACAGACATGCAGGAGGTCTGTCAACAACTACCAGCCAAGCAGGCTGCCCATGCTGCAAACTGGTCAAGTGACAACTCCAATACTGACAAAGGGTGATGTCACTGAACTGGAAAAAAACAAAACACACTGTTGTCCCATCTGGGATGAGAATTTCTATAGAAACCATACTTTCTTTGCTGTCTGTTTCTCACACATGTAACTTTTTTGCATTTCTCAGTACATTTCTCTTTTCAGATGTACAATGTGGGGAAAATCTCTTCATGGCAACTGGCCATTTCTCATGGTCAGATGTTATTCAGTCCTGGTATAATGAGGAGGAAAATTTTGAATACGGAACTGGAGCAAAAACACAAGGTGCTGTGATTGGCCATTACACTCAGGTAGGTGCCAGGTTTTTATATTTCAGGAAGAATATATAAATGTTTCTATGTTAGCTAAACAACTTTTAGCCTCTCATTATCTTTAAAGGGAACAAGTACAATGGTCATATGAGAGTTATTCTGACAAAACAAGGTAAAAACTTTTAAAGTAACAGAATTAAATACAAAACAATGGGCTAAGTGTCTTTATGGAGTAAAGATACTGATGTGTCAAGACTTCAGGAAGAAACAAAAGGAAGAAACTTATTTGTTTGTGCAACCTCTGAAAATGGCTCAGACACTGGAATAATAGAGTTATTAAAATATCAAGAAGGAAATATAAATAGGTTTGTTACATTCTACAGAGTTCCATTGACTCAGAGAATTTCTTGGACAATGGCTCCCGATAACCTCATCTTTTCAGGTGCATGAAAAACAGAATACAAAATGAAAACATATATAAATGAGACAGTTTAACTCAAACTAATAATATGTATGTGTGATAAATTATTACCATCATATCTTATAGAATCATAGAATAGTTAGGGTTGGAAAGGACCTTAAGATCGTCTAGTTCCAACCCCCCTGCCATGGGCAGGGACACCTCGCTCTAAACCATGCCACCCAAGGCTCTGTCTAACCTGCCCTTGAACACTGCCAGGGATGGAGCATTCACAACTTCCCTGGGCAACCCATTCCAGTGCCTCACCACCCTCACAGGAAAGAATTTCCTCCTTATATCTAATCTAAACTTCCCCTGTTTAAGTTTTAACCCATTACCCCTTGTCCTATCACTACAGTCCCTAATGAAGAATCCATCCCCAGCATCCCTATAGGCCCTCTTCAGATACTGGAAGGCTGCTATGAGGTCTCCTTGCAGCCTTCTCTTCTCCAGGCTGAACAGCCCCAACTTTCTCAGCCAATCTTCATATGGGAGGTGCTTCAGTCCCCTGATCATTCTCGTGGCCCTCCTCTGGACTTGTTCCAACAGTTCCATGTCCTTTTTATGATATTACCTTAAATGGACTTGGTTCAGGGGTAAAAGCAGAGAAAAAAAATGGTTTTTGAGGAATGTGGGACTTATATTTTACTATAAAGGGTAAATAAAGTGACTTACTTTGGTTGCAAATGTTTCTTTAATGCATTTTGTACTTAACTGATTTTAAAATGCATATTTTTCACCCTCTTATGATCTTTATTCTTATACCTACAGGTGGTTTGGTACAATTCTTATGAAGTTGGATGTGCTGTCGCTTTTTGTCCCAACAGGACATACAAATACTTTTATGTCTGCCAGTACTGCCCCATGTACGTATTGATTCTGATTCTAGAACTTCGTATTACATTATCAAAATTAGTTGTATTAGGGCATATCACCCATTGGTGAGTAACAGGTCTGACGACCATAATAGGAATATGAAGACAGGAACATACTCATCAAAGGAATAGTCAAAAGGAGCAAAAGCATAAAATATCTAAAAGTGACACCTATTTTCAGATTAAACTTCATTTGCCTAAAAATTCTGATTTTCATAATAATAAATAAATAAATAAATAAATAAAAGTTTCCCACATTCTGCTTGATATCTTGGTTCAGAAAGGCATGTCAATATGTACAGTGTAGACTATAATTAATAAAAAAAATAATAAAAAAAAAATGCAGTGCAAATTTCAAGGCAGAATGGTGTTTTTATAAAATGCCTAAAATTAATTTTCACATTCACGCTGTAATATTTGGTGTTGGGTGGATCTTTGCTGACCACCAGCAGACCACTGAGCTACTCTATCACTTCCACTCTGACTTGCTCCAATCTGGGAGCAGTTGGCACTGGCTCTATCTGAACTAGGGGCAGCTTCTGGTGTCTTTTCACAGAAGTCACCCTTGCAAATTCAGCTCCCAGTACCAAAACCTTTACAAAACCTAACACACACATATATATTATACATTATACATTTTATATTTTATATTATTTTATATTTTATGTTTTATATTTTATATTTTATATTTTATATTATATATACATACATTTGTTTGGGAAAAACAGGATTGGGTATAAATTACATGGATGTATCCATATAATTAAGTTTTCTCCTCAAATATGTTATAGTGACTTTATAGCTTATGTTGTTGTTTCAGGGGGAATCTAATAAGTTCAATTCCGACACCCTACAAAAAAGGAGAACCCTGTGGTGATTGCCCTGATGCTTGTGATGATGGATTATGCAGTAAGTTCTAAGCATTTAATTTGACTTGGATAAAGTTGATGTTTTAAAAAAATACCAATTAATTTATGCAAATGAATTTTTTTTTAATAATTTCTTCGAATACAGGGCCAAAAACACTATTACAGAACTATACTTCATGATGCTAGGTGCTTTACCTAGGTGAGACAACTTGTGGAATGAAACCAAAGTAAAAGCCTGCAAGGGAGGACAAATGTTAGACAATGGTTGGTGTACACTGGGATCCATATACCCTCCGCTTCATGGATCAAGATATTCATATGGCCTATATACCTTCTTCAAAGATGACAATGTCTGGGTCTCCATATGGAAACTCTCATGAATACTTCTTAGCATAAAAAGGGATGTCTTGACTGCAAGTAGGGTCAAATATATGTTTAAAATAATGTCAGCACAGAAATCTGAGCTCCAAATTTCCAGCTGCAGTTTGTATGGTTTTCCATACCCAGGAGATATAATTCTCATCTTTGAATCTAGGAAATGCCAGGAAAGGAGGGTACTTCTGTATCTTTTTTTCTTCTTCCTCCTTTGAACTATGGTGGCTGATCAAGTAGCATTACCAACACACTTGATAAGAGCAAGTGACAAATCTGAGTTTTAAGAATTCTAACAGACCATAAAAGCATATGGGTTAAGTCTCACGATAGAAGAGTAAATTTCTATCTTCTGTTATGGAATTAAGCTACTTTTCATCATGGACTCTAGTATATAGGAAAAAAACTTCAAAACATCTTACAAGTTTAGTGAGAAACCTCCTTGAGATAGATAAATTTAGAATTTTTGTAAGTGTGGTCAAAGATTTTTGATGCTCCTGTGCAGTAAATGGCAACAAAGAGGAAAAAAAAATAGAGGAAAGAATTATTCATGAGAAAAACATGTTTTGAATAAAAATGTTTTTATTTCCCAGTTATGATTAATTTTGTGTTTCAATTTATTTTTAGCCAAGCTTTGAAATTTGAAGATATTTGTTCCAAGTAACTTTGCAAAGGCTCCTGGATGTACCCATAGCTTCTTCAAGTTCATTGCCCTCTTCCTGCCAATGCAAAACTGAAATAAAATAATGGGCTCAATTTTTCCTTCCTGGACATCGATCTCCTTAGTGATTCTTTTCACAAAAACAGAATCCACCCTGCCTCTCCCACATGTGCAGAAGGACTAACTTAGTCCAGTGAAAAAATTATAGGAGGATGTATGTGTATATTCTGTTTGTATAGTGTTTCTAGTTTCCACTAGTATTATTCGAGTTTAGAATCTGTGTCTATGTCTAGAATGTATGCGCTGACATGCGTTCTACCATATAATGCTCAGCTGTAAAAGAAAATAAACAAACTACAAAACTATAGTTCCTTTAAATTAATGATGCTGCTTATAATATAAGATCACACTCAACATAAATACAGGTAACCAAACCTGCCTTCTAATGAAAAAGGACTGTCTGAGAAAACAACTTATTTCACAATAATACATAGCCAAGGGGAAAGGTCCCTGCATTAGGAAACTAATAATAAGTTCAATAATAAATAGATGTGTCTTCTAATGCTTTTTTTTTTAATACCTGCTTTTGCTGTATCAGTCATTAAATTACTCATTCTTCGCTGACCAATTCATTGTAATTTTCATTATTTCTTATTACCATGGAATTATCATTAAACCTCCACCAACTCTGTGACTTTATTAGCATTATGTCTTGAAAGGAGTCCAACTCTTTAGCAGCATAAGCAGAAACAGTTCATTTGAGAAACTGAAGATTTACTAGGCAAAACCAGAAGTCAGGCAAACAGCTTTCCTTCAGACTCTCTTTCCCAGAGAAATGACCATTAGCATAAATAACATACAATACCCACTTCTGTGACCTCTGGAAGCAGGTGATTTTCTGTGCAGTCAACAATAGGACTGAATATTGTTTTAGTCTCACATAAAATGGTTTCACATCCTAGTCTTCTTTGAGTAAGGAAGCTGCTGTCATAATTAAGATTCCATGTCCCAGAGTCTTTGGTACAGAACAATTTCAGCACATGTTTCTGACTCATTCATTTCAGTGGCAATTTCAACACATCTCTGACTCATTCATTTTGGTGGCATTACTTCTAGTATGAAAGATGAGCAGTAAGCTAGAAACCTGATTTCACAATTCAAATCGCTTACTGTTTTGGTTGTGGTTTTTTTCACATTTCCACCACTTTTTTACTCCATGGTATACTGCCCTCCCATGCCAGTACATCTCTACTAGTAATTTAAGAAATGCCAGGACATAGATGTGAGCACGGGAACATGAATTACTGCTCTCTTAAATAATTAACACTGATTCAAGTAAGAATGATGATAACGCAATAGTGTTGTTAGCAAAGAAATGGGTAGACCTGTTACCTACACTCCTAAAAAGAAGTCATTTACTTGGAGTAATGGGTCTAGAAATCTATTTCCTTCTGTCATAATCCATACCAGAAGACCTGGTTTCTCAGTCACTCACAAGAGGAAAGAAGTAACATAATGAGGTAAAAATCATCCACTCACATCTCACCCACAAAGCCCCAGGGAACTAAAGGTCACTAAGCCTAATTTAGGTATCCAGGAAGATAATGGAGCAAGCTGTTTACCTGTCATATAGTAATCAGCAGTGTAAAACACCAGTATGGTTTTGTCATGACCCGATCTTGCCAAACCAAACTTTCTTCAGTGAGTAACTCAGACGAGTGGATGTTGGTTTGGCTTTGGTAGCATGTTTGACAAAGCCACAAAAGACATTTGCTAACTAGGGAGATGCGGCTCAAATGAAAGTAATGACATGGCACATACACAGAGTTGAACACGCGCACACACATCCATGTTGCTCCTGTGTAGGCACAGAGGCCTTTGTAAATGTGGTTAGATGTCTGCACAGACAGCTGGGTCCCACATCCGGAGCTAATTGCACAGTTCTTGCATGTGATGACCGTGACCCTCCCCAGTCATCAGTCACAATTATGAATGAAGACAGCTTTTGTCAGTGTATGGAAAACCTTCACTGAATACTGTTCTCATTCCCATTTGCACAAACACATTTAAGGCATTTTCTTGGACAAAACCAAGTCCTAGGTTCTAGATTACTTTTAATGAAGATTATAAGCCAATAATATAAATTTATAACAATATAAGATTATGAGCCAATTCTGTTGTAAGAAATAGGTCAGAATTCTAATCTATTACAATTTAATAAAAAATGAATAGCTGGTACTTGGGAGAGACAAATCTGGAGAAGTAATAACAGCTGATAGACTGATGATGGTATAAACTATTCTGGGAGCAGGAAAACCAAGATGCCCAGTGCTGTGCTACAGAGACATTGATCTGCTCCTGTTTGCTTCAAGGAATTTTATGATCTTTTTCTCTCCAAAAGGACTTCATATGATGAGTGGTGCGCAGAATGTTTTCCTCACCTAGGAGGAAGTGTCATTTAACTTAGTGCTTACAGTACCTTCTTCATAAATGTTGGCAGTACTGCATACTGGCATTGTATCAGGTCTCCTACTTCCCTCACACATTCCCTAAAAATGTAAAAAGTAGACCTTCACCAACATATATTTTATTTTTTTTATTTAAACATAGTTTGGAAGGAAGATGACTGTGACCATTGCTTTATGTGAGGTCCAGCTACTGCTGCTTATAGGGCCTGAGAAAGGTTTAGTGACTGATTTTGGTGCCAAATAGTCATGTTGTGACTAAGCAGTGTTGGTAAAAGACTTAAAAGCCATTATACTATATACTTTGAACTGTATTGCAAAGCAGTGTGCCTTGTCTCTGACAGCTCCCTGTGAACACTGGGGTCCCCACATCAAAACATGCCTTCATCCTAGCACATCTTCTTCCTGGGTTGTTTCACATTTCAAGGTGAAACCCTTGAAATCTTTAGTACCTCTAGCAAAGATAAAGAGTGGACAAGGAGCTGCCACGGGAGGGTCTGTGGAAAGGGGTTTTTTTTTCCCATTTCTCCTTCTTGCCTACTTTTGTTGGAGCTCCCTGCAGATAGATGGCTGTTGTAGGGCAGTGTCTGAAATATGTCCCGTATCATGAATCCCTGCTTTACTGTGGAAAAGTGAATAGAATTGACTAGAATTTACTAGGATAGACCAGAACAGACTAGCATAGAGTAGACTTGTTTATCATAGACTAGGACAGAATAGAACAGGATAGGCTAGGGTAGGGTAGGGTAGGGTAGGATAGGAAACAGGATTCAGTTGGAAGGGACTTACCTAGCTCAACTTCCTGACCAGAAATTAGTTTAGAACTAGTTCCTTTCTAAACTGTGAGAATTGTACAATGATGTAATAGGAAGAGTAAAACCTGATGATATGCACAGTTCAGCTAAGACAGCATCCTTGTCTCTCACTGTTACAAAAATAATGTCCTCTAACGGAAGGTAGAAAAATCCTGTGACAGGCAGAACTGAGTTTGCTCTTTCTCCAAATATGATATCCAACAGTCGTGACATCTTTTAGTGCTGAAACAGAAACTTTCATGTCATTTTGAAAACGTATCATCATTAGTTATGAAACTTCTGGATATTCCTAGAATGTATGCAGCCTTCTGAAAGCTGTAAGACGGATGTACTTTACACCTCTCTCATGCTGTAAGCCTTGATTCACTTACTTTTCAGAACTTGAAGAAATGTTCTTGAAACCTGCAAAGCAAAAACATGCAGTGCACTTTTAAATGTGTGCCTAGAGCCTTGATTGATTTGACAATTTAAAGTGTTACAACAGTGTTTCAGTGGTGAGGATGGAAAAATGGTGAAGTCTTGTTATGTGTGGTGGGTTTGAAAAATCCTACTGAAACTGTGGATTGCCTCTCACTTTATTCTCTTTCCTGGCTGACAATGCAAATGCTCTTTCCCAGAATTCAACAAAAAGATGTTGCATATGCTTGAAAGTAGCATTTGATCCCTGCGAAAGGGAGTTGGAAGAAACAAGTGTGTCCATCTGAAAAAATAACCACAAGAAAGATTTTTCATTTTTAAATAAAACCATCATCTCAAAGCTAACTTTCCTTAAACCAGTTACTGCTTTGCATTAGTTGACATGTGGCAGGACAGCACCATTTAACAATCCAACAAGCTTTATAGCAGATATAAATTTTAAGTAAATTTTAAGAAAATGGCAATGCAACCCAAAAGTTGCTAAATCCTATTATAACTTCCAAATAGTATAGGCTGTAGTCAAGCAGGAGAAAAATGAGCCTATGTTGTCTCTTTTCAATACTGTTTTCTCATGTGTAGGTTTGTTTTTTCCCCCCACTTAATTTTGCTCATATCTTTTTATTTATTTCCAAATAACATCCAAGAGGCAAGCTCCACAACATTTTAAAAGATAGAGCTAGTAACCAATCATGTGGGCTTAATACAAGTATATATTTGAAACCAGGCACCACAAAACAACAGATCTCACAAATTAATCTAAAATGTTGAAAACTGACTTTTGATAACATAGTGCCTTTAGTGAATATCTTTCCATACTTTCTGAAGATTTGAAGAGGGAGCTCTATTTTTCAATCTGCCTGGCAGCTTTCAGCAAAGCTCTGCCTGGCACATATTGTAAAAGCAAAAACATACTTATTGCAAGAGCCATCATTATTAGACAATACAGTTCACAAATATTAATGTTTTAAAATATACAAATGGAATTTAACATCCTGCACATTATTTTCAATGTATCTAACAACTTTTTTTTTCACTTTTTCACACTAAACATGTTAATGTTTGAGGAAGCCAAGAAATGTAGACTCTGAGTTCACTACTAATATCCTGCTATGGAAGCACATACAAATGCATTGATCAAAATATGGAAAATTCCATAGTATCAAATACAGTCTTGAAAAAAGTCCTAAGTTGAAGAGACAGACAGCTTGACTTTTTGAAATGCATGTCACAAATAGCTGAAATTGCATGGTAGATAAAACTTTCCATTCCTTAGCTATACCCAACTGGATTCAACTAAATAGATAGAAACCACAGTGAGTGTTCGAAGACTGGGAGTATAAGACTGTAATGAAGTTGCATTTACACTTTTCACACTTCCAATTTTGATTGTTGCATTAGAAAAGTGTACTGATTTTTAGCATGTTTTTTTCCTGCATTTTTTCAGGAGCATGTACCTTTGGCTTGAAGCTCTCTCACATAACCGTGTAAACCCA